TAATTATCCGTTGTTCTCATTTAGTTTGAATCGGGACTTATTTCTTAATTGGGAGACGTTGTTTGGTTACATGCTTTGGCACTTGAAAAATGTTTTTATTAATTCGTATGGTCAGTTTGTCTTATATTCATCGTAAAATAATGCTGCCAAAAGTCTTTTAAAATAAATTCGTACCGCTCAACAATTGGACTGCGGCGTATACTCCACGTGAATATCTTTCAGCTTCTCCTCTAATGAGATATACAGCGACAGCAACACGAAAATAGAGATTCTACCTTTCATTGTCCAGTTCAACCGACAAATTCTTGCAGCGGTCCGCGGTGCTATGAATGCCAATCCGTTTAAATTATAACTATGAAATTTGCACAGGTGAAGTATGCTCCAGGAGTACCTTCCAAGCGTTCCAATTGACATCTGAAGGCGTTCAAAGGTATTTCCTTCAGAAAACGTGTCGTTTTCATCCCCCGCTCGGCCACCGTCTAATGTTGGACACAGGACCTACGCCGCACGGCCTCGGGAGACTGCAACGCCGGGCGCTGGCGGTTCTTGTAAGACTTGCGAACACGCATGGCCGAACCTGGGACATGTAATTCTTCCCCTACATGATTCTGAACAAATTTGAGCATTCTGAGACCAAAACAGGCTGATTTGAATGCAAATTTACGACCTTATTTCGATCTAAGATCTACTTTACGATGCCCCTGTACAACAAAGAGAAGCTCTAGCACAGCCCCTGAGTGCTATCGGCTTGAAAAGAGTCCACCAAAACATTATAAATTGAATAGCACTGGCGTGTTTCCTTCAGTTTACTGACAAGCAGCATTGCAGCAAGAATACAAGCAGCATTGTATCTCTTGGAGACTCTTGGCTTTTGAAGGCAGGGCTCACTTCGAAATCAAGTGAGCCACATCCGATGACTTCTTTTTGGATGGGAGCCTTTGCCTAGCGGAGGGCTTCATCAACCCTGTCCCCCCTCGCAATTACCAAGACTCGGGCTGTTTCCCTGGGTCGGTACGCCCATTGAGCACCGAGTATGCCTACGCAAGTATCATCGCGTGGCATCTGGAAAGTCAGCTCAACTAGTAGCGCTGTTACAATCAACCTGGATTACGCATAATATTGATATGACGGGTGTTCCTTTTTTCACACGCCCGAAGTAAAACGGGGGAGGGCTGCTTTCCCTTCAGAGGCCCAACAGCATTGAGCAGTGTCCCCTGGACGTATAGCTGGCTTGCATTTCGTGTTTATTGAAAAGAGGGGAAGGGATTCTCAACAAAAGGGCATCTGCGAAGCGCATTTGCGGAAAAATTGAAAATCATGTTATTAACTTTTGCGTGGAATGAACATCGACAGTAGTTCACATCAATTCAGTGACATTAATATTTACTAAACGGCAGATATTTTATCGATGGCATTTTGGTGTATTGAGAACCTGCGTATAAATGGGTTATGATAGTCATGTATATTGTGGACAATGGACACTATTCTTGTGAACGGATGAAAGCAAATAACAAAAAATGCAACAACATAATGGTTAACTATACACCAATTCACTTTTTCAGTATGCTAGAGAGAGCTGCAACTGCATCCCGTTAGCTTTCCAAAACAAGTGCCTTTGTGAGAATCAGATGCAATCTGCAAGGATTCCGTGCATGACTGCTGTGGCCACGCACATGACCTTTAAATATATGTATGCAAAGTATGTATATATATATATATATATATATATATATATATATATATATATATATAACTGATAGCCAGAACGTCAGGCAGGAAATCCGGGAAGTTTTTGACCCTGTCCCTTACGACTAGTTTTGCGAATCTGCCCCTCCCCAAGTCATTTTCATAGATCGATACCCATGCGATCGGCCGTCTGATGTGAGATGGCACCGAGAGCGGAGGTCCGCTCGTCCTCGACAGACGCAGCAGTACTCTGGGCGAATAGCGTTACCAAACCACTGGCAAATGTAGATCACTGTTGGCGTTTTCAAATTTTACAAGCTGCTATTAGAATGTGTTAGTGGGTTGTCAGTCGCGCTTATTTGCGAAGAAGCGAACGTCATTGTTCCGTATTTTCCCTGCCTTCCTCACTTGCGGCTTCCTTCTGGCTCCTCGTAACGTGACGCCGTACCGGAACCATGCTGTGGCTATCAGTAATGAGTTGGCCTCATTGTCACCCTGGAGGAGTCCCGCTCGAGCACGTGCACATACCCCGAGGTCCCGTGGGCTCTGTGGGAACTAGCACTTGAAAAACAGCAGCAGTACTTGCGGTAAGCCTCGGCGGTGGCAGCGATGCCCCACATTCCACCGCTCTCCTGCATCCCGCGACTCTTAAACTGTCACGGCTGAAAGGGCTCCTCTAGCCCAACCGGAGAAAACATACGCACCGATGTGCCGACACTGCGGTGCTTCGTAAAGCGTGTCCCTAAACTGATGGCCTCCCTCCCACTTCCTTGGCCTTGTTTGCCCGGAGTGGCCGCAAAAAGAATAAAAGTTTGCCGAACCCAGCCTCAGTGCATCACCACTGGTCGTGCCGCCGACGAAAACACGACGTTTATCAGGACGAAAACAACGAAGACAACGATCTTACAATGTTCGAGTCAACGACGACGACCACGGCGACAACGCCATGCTGGCGACAGTGATGAAGACCACGACACGGTGCTAATAACCACGGTATGCCGATCAGTCGACGACAACGACACGATGTTCAAATTAACGAGGACGGCGATGGAACCATGCAGACGGAGCGATGATGACGGCAACGACGTCGTCATGGTCAACATCAACGTCATTTCATCATCATCGTCACTTAACATGTTGTAGTCGTCGCCATCGTCATGATCAACATCTCGTCGCCGAAGTCGTCAATGTTAGGCCCTCGTCGTCGATGTCATTGACATCGGCACCACACATCATCCATTGCCATAGATAGATCGTCAGTCATCATCAATATCACGTCATCGTCATTGTTGTCGTCGTCGCTGACGAAAACAACGACGGCAGGGATGGTGACTTCGACACGGCGAAGATGACGTTGGTGACGGTATGATCTTGCATGCTCACGTTCAAAGACGAAAAGGTAACGATGTTGATGAAATTGATATCGTCGACGACGACTACACGATGTTGACGATAATGACGACGTAACGTTGATGGGTACACGACGTTTTTGAACGCGGCGACGGCGACAAGACGATGACGACGGAGATGACGTCACGAATTGCATGCGAAGAAAGACCGTGAAGACGCCGTGGTGATCATGACGATGTCGATGACGACGACGACAACGATGACGATGATGATTGGAGTTTTAGGACGCCCCGTACAACACGATTTTGATAGCGACGGCGATCGTGACGACGGAGATATGCTATTAATGACGGCGATGACGATGATGACGCGCTATTGGTGACGACGGCTAATCTATGGTTATGCCAACAGCCATGATGTGTCGTGTTAATGTTTCTCGCCCATGTCGATGCCATGGACAACCTGGTATTGACGACGCAATGTTGATCGTCAATGACTGGCACGATGGCGACGTTGCCGCCACGATATTGATGACCACGACATTGATTAGGACGGCACCTGGTTGATTTAGACGACAACGCGAAGACGACGAAGGCGACGAACGCGACAACGAAGATACGTTGTTGAACGACGACGATATCATCGGCAGCGACGACACAATTTTGATGGCGACGGCGATGCCGAAATGATGCGGATGTCGGCTGATGACGGCAACTACTCCACCGAAGCGATGTTGACGTCGACGATACGATCCATCAGCGCGGCCAATCCGCCTGGCAAGTTTCAAGGCCATTTGGCAGGCCAAATTGCCTTCACTAGCCTCAAAAGTAATGGCCAATTTTGGATTTCAGTCATCAGAATCTCCCTCAGCGCATAAGCCAGCGTCCGTCGAAAAGTTCTGGCCTCTCAGTGTTAAATTCAGGGTCAAATTACGGGAGACTCCATGCCACACAAGAGAAGCTGAACCTTGAGTGGTCGGGACTTTTTACTGACTTATGCGCCGAAGGAGGTTCTGATCAGGCATGCCTGGATCCAATGGGTGGATCCAAGATCACATAGGGTTCCATGCTTATGTGATCCAGTGGCTGTTTTGGGGCTCCAGACGCATGTCTGATCCTGCTGTTAAAAAATCCGAGATCGATCGGTAACTTTTGGATCGCTGAAAAGGATTCTGAGGCATGAAGTTCGAAATCAGCCGGCACTTCTAAGGGATTTGGATTTCCCAGTCACTTGGTCTTGAATTTGATCCTAGAGCTTGACCTTGGAAAGCCAGGGCTTTTCGGTGGGCGCTAGTTTATGCGCGAAGAAGGGTCTGATGCTTAACAATTGCAATCGGCCAGTGATTTTTGGATGATATCAGTTCCTCGCCAGCTGACCGTGCGTGTGTGCTTGGAGGTCAGTTGATATTGAAATTCAGGCGTCAATTTCGGCGTTTTCTTTCAAACTGGATCGTCGCTAAATAAATCGCTACCTTGACGGACGTCAGCCTGGGGATGACAGCGGCTGAGCCCAGGTTGCGAGCCTCCGTCCCCCCAAGTCACAGGGTGATGTGTGAGTGGATTCCAGCTAGGACGCCATCAGATTACAGTACATATATTTGATCTCATTGAAACAGATGACTTCTATGCTGCGACTGTCTCCGGCTCCGCTGTGCCGCCGTCTATACACGTTTGCCGCTGCTAGGCAATACTCCGAGTGTCTCCAACTCACTGTAAGTTCTGAAAATGCGATGTGCGAGCAAACATGAAGTAGCGTCCTAGCACTTGCACGAGACAGTGCCTGCAGCACCCAATCTCAAGGACGCATGCATTGAATGAAGCTCAGTGCTGGACGTCCACTGAATGCTCAGAATAACCGATGACGCAGCAGCACTGTGCACCAGCCCCAAGGCCGTTAAATGTACAAGACACGCACAACGTCTCTGAGGACCAATTGGCCAGTCTGTGCGCGCGGCAGGCGGGCGGCTAGCTGTCGGAGCTCTTGAAGCGGAGCCGACTGCGCGGCCGGTGCCGCACGGAGCTCGAGCGCGCCTCCAGTCGGGCGGCTCGTCTCAGGTCCTCGGAGGAACGCGTCCGTCGCGGAGGCGCCACCGGCAGCAGCACCACCGGCGGCGGCCGGCCGCGCTCGGCGGCTACCAGCCGGTCCGGGCTGAGCGGTAGCTGCCGATCCTGCGGCGGCGGCTGCAGCCGACCAGGGCTGGGCGGTAGCTGCCGAACCTGCGGCGGCAGCTGCAGCCGGCCTGGGCTGAGCGGTAGCTGCCGATCCTGCGGCGGCGGCTGCAGCCAGTCGGGCGGCCCCAGCTGTGGTCGGTCGGGCGGCGGCGGCTGAGGCCGATCGGGCGGTGCCGCTTGCGGGCGGCCGGAGACCCGAGGCGGTGCCGACTGGGTGCGGCCGCGGCCGGCCTGCTGCCTGTGCACGCGTAACGCCTCCTGCTCGGCCAGCATCTTGGCGCGCAGCCAGTCAGCGGGCTCGGCCTCCGCGCAGCCCAGCAAGCGCACGCACACCAGGCTGTAGAGCGCCCGCCGGAAGTCTTTGAGGTTGTATGCGTACAGCAGCGGATTGAGCGCCGAGTTGGCGTGCGACAGAATGATGGTGAAGTTGGTCAGCTGCAGTGGCACGGCGCAGCTGGGACAGAACGCCTGCGGCACGGTCAGTCCTGGTGAACAACAGACAGTGGGCGGCACTAACGACACAGTCAGGCGGCCTGGCGCGGAGCGGGTGACGGGCATGCCCGACACAAGCAAGCTGGGAGGGAAAGACGGATAGCGGAGAAGCTCAGCGCACGTGGCACGTGGCAACGGTACGTAAGATGTATACGGCTTGGCAAAACCGCTTAATCTACGACACATTGGAAGACAAGCAATCCTGTCCCTATTTCTGCTTTGCCCTAACTCATTACAACATGTGACCTTCAACGAAAGAAAAGCTTCAAAATTCAAAGAGAATGGTGGACACTCTTGCGATATCAGTACCATATCCTTAGGCGCGCAAAAAATCGGAAACTAGATAATTTAACCAAACGTCACCTGGGTCTCCCCAAACCTACTACAGCTGCAGCTGCTCACGTTGATGCAGTTGATGGTGTAGAGCGGAAACCAGCACACCATGAAGAACAGGACGATGATGGAAAGATTTTTGGCGGCCTTGACCTCTTTTCTGGCCACTTGGCTGCCGACACAGGCGCTGTAGCAGCTGTTCTGGCGCGCGTTCTCAGACAGATGCGCGAAGAACGACATACTCCGAACCTGCCGGATGAAGGGGGAGGGTCCCAGGTAAGTCAAGGAAATGAGACGATCGCGACGGCAGGTGGAGATCTTTTCATGTCTGCAAGAAGGATTCGTTTACGATAGGTGTGTTGTGGGGGAGTGTGGGGGGGGGGGGATGGCGTTTCGGGTACCCTGACTTTTACCAATAACACCGAGCTCAGCGGTCCTACCTGGGCGGGCTGTCAAGCTTTTGATGATCTTGTGCCTTTGTCACCAGTGATGACCCAAGCAGGCAGCTTTCAGCAACTAACAGCCAAATTGTTCGATGTCGTGTAGCCTCGCACCTTGGTGGCGTTTTTCACGTAAGATCTACGTTAGGCACAGTTTCATCGTAGCTTTGCACCCCATCAGATAAATAGGGGAACGTAAATTTTGGTGTATGTAATTACTTGGCGAGGGATGATCAAACCTGGGCCAAGATCTGCACTAGGTGGGGTTGCGCGATTTCTTCACGGCATCGGTGCAATCTGAATGAGCAAGCAGACAACTATATCGGCCTAAGTATGGGACACCGCGTGCAGCAGATCATGCTTAATGGAGCGCAATCCTAAAGTTAATCAAAGCAAAATATCCGTGAATTAGCGACGGGCTCGTGTTTGGATTTACACCTCCGCTTTTGCTTGAATTTCGCTTTGAGGTAGCCAACACCGAGTCAATCGGGAATCTGAGGTCCGTTTTGCGATAGTGGTTGCCCCATACCGTTTCAAAATAAAGGACGAAGAACGCCATACCGCTTTAAATCACCACTAAAAACCAGTCTCAACAAATTGACGGAGTCAAATTCTAAGGTGATCAAAATATTCGTTCTGATGAACGGCGACCTTGAATGTGAGCTTGAGTGACCCAGTCCGTTGATTTTGAGTTTCACCCTGGAGGGATCACATGTTCTGAGCTATCGGTCTGTCCGTCCAGACAGCTCAGTTGGTTAAGGCTCTGGCCCCCGATTCGCCCACCTGTGACGGGTCGAGTTCGAGTCGCTTTAGCGGCTCGCTGTTTACCCCTGGCTGGGTATGGTCCGCAGCCGGTGGCAGCGGCCGCGCTGAAGGCCAGGTTACATCAGAAGGCAGGACGACATAGGGACAGGTCAAGCTGTCGCCTCCAAATTCTGCCGCTGTCCTGAACTTTCATGATCAAATGGTGGGGTCAAGACTCGCTCACGCAACACGTGCTCGTTAGCGTGGGCGCTGATCCGAGAAACCCATTCAATTAAGGCCTGGACTAAATCTAGGAAAAAGGGCAACCACTACCGCAACATGAATGTTAAATTCGCAATTAACACAATTAGGACTGTAAATGAGCGATTTTTTTTAGCGCATCGGAAGTCTTATCTCAATCGCAATGTGAATACGTTTTCGCTTAACGAGCATCGAATCAATTTTTTTCTCTTCGACATTAAGCCTAAAAACAGAATTCATAGTCTTGATTAATGGTAGGAAATTCAAAAAATAGCTTGGCATTGAGCCTAAAAGTCAACCTGTCAGCTTACCACTGCGTAACCCATGCAGGCGGTAGCCCACTGTGAAGCGGCCAACATGGACAGGCAGTTACGTGATATGGCTGGCATGGCAGCAGCCACACCAAATTTTGCAAAAATTAAAAAAGTATAACATTTTGTCATCATTTGAGCGCCTTTCGGCAACGTTTCTACGTCATCTCTTCCTTGCACTTTTTCCTGGCGGCAGCTAACATCAGGCCCCACTGAAGCTCGTTGACTGCACTTAAGGTGCATGGCAGATTTTCTGGCAAATATAATTTCATGCGCTTAGAGTCATATGGACCCCACTTTAGTTAAAAAAGGCTCCGGTCCATGCCCAAGCACGACTTTCCGAAAGCTGCTCAGCCCATTCCACTCGGCAGATCAAGATGTCAGTGAGACTACAAACAAGCTCGCTTCGTTGGCCTTCACCAGCCTTCCATCCATTTGCTCGCTAACCGAGTACGACTCCAATTTTTACCAAGCCAAAGACGGAAACACATAATTTTCCGACTTTTGAGCCACGTGGCGCCGCCGCGATTGTGTAGTTGGTAACTCGTCGCGCAGGTGAGCGACGTGTCACGTGTTCGAGCCCCGGCTAGTCCAGATCCTGTTTGCCGGTTACTGATGAAATGGTCTTTATTTTCACCATATTGCCAGGAAACAGTAACGTAGCCAAGGAGTAGGCAATGGGTGTATGCCAAAGGGGTATGACCGTTCCCCGAAGACAATCCCTCTGCATGAAATGGTGAGGAAATTCGCAGGAGAACAGATGGAATATGGAGAAAATCAACTCTCTGTTCATCTTTAGCAAAAAGCTCTCAAAAAGCTGTCGCACAAAGTGGTAATTGAGAAGTCTTTAAAACCAGACTCGAATGCATGTCACTATGGACTGGAGTACGATGAGATCCCGACATCATGAAGAAGTTTGGACCAGCAACTAATATACACCCACAATATTGACTTTGTAATACTTTCGTTACAGTTGATGAACATGTGAAGCAAAATTCATCTGTAAATTTCCTCTGCAGAAATAGTCAGAAATTCGCTAGCCAGACCTAAACAAATGCTGTGTGTGGTTTACGGCGTGAATGCTAATTAATGAACCCGGTGCGTGCTAACCTTTCGTGAGAAACGGACATGACCACGAACAGCTACCGATTGGTATGGCTGCAAATGCACCTGACCTGATTCACTTAGAGTTTGGCACTATCCACATTTTGTATGACGTAATATTTATGCATGTCACCTCTCTTGTCACATGCCGAAGAAGATGCCCTCAAAGTTCTTGAGAAGCCAAAATTCATCGTCGTGGAAGTGCCGGAAATTTCTCAACATTCCGGACGCATCACTTGCAAATGGTCTTCAAATGTCATTAAACAAATTATATCTGCCATTAGGTATGCGTGTAATGAATCCGAAACTGCCGTGTGGAAAACATTTGTCCGAGTCGTCCGTAATTATGCTGCAATTTGATGCACTGTGAAGCTCAGCATTACGAGTGCGCCTATTCAGTCACTAACGTTAATTAACCCTGCAAGTGTTCATTCTCGGTTAACAGACGCATGACCATACCAGCGAGCTACGGAGCGCATTTGACTGCAAATAAACCTTTGTTACCCTAGCTTACCAACAAGTCACCAGCCATGGTCTCGTGTGGATCGCCATGAGGGCAAGTCGGCGGCCGTCGGCGCCCCCGTCACGCCACCGACGGCGTCGATAAGTTGCTACGTCACTGCGTCGCGACCGTGGCGTGCGCTCGTGACCGGCGCCGGCTGTTTTTCCGGCTCTGTCGGCAGCTAGTGCGCACTGACCGCGCTGCGTCTCGGCGCGCGAGGGAAGAGTCACAATCAGGCGCGGCCGGCTGTCCCCAGTGTGTGCACAGACGGCCGGCCGTCGCCTCTGGAGGCTTCATTAGGCACCGAGATAACAGGCTGAGGGCTTCGCCCCCACAATCAGCCGCCGCAGGCGCACCAAACAGCCGTAACTCTGCGCCGGTGACGGAGTGCTGAGCGTCGGGCCCCGCCAAACAGGCGCAGGACGCCGTCGAAAAGCGACGCAGACGGCGGAGAATTGTGGCCAGATGTCTCTGAAAGCCGACATGGATCGAAAAGTGAACTTGTTATTTGTCAGACTGCGAACGTCGTATATGCACAAATCCAAACAGTGCTTTGAATGGTAGTCTCTGTGGTTTAAGCTGTGACCTTGACATGCTGTTGTAATAAGTAATTCACTCGATGAAAACGGCTCCAAATATTGTGCTGTTAGCTGGCTTCGAAGGGTTCGAAGGAATATATATATATATATATATATATATATATATATATATATATATTATATGTGTGTGTGTATATTTGAACAGGAACATACCGCGCATTTGCACGAAATCCAGATATTCTGATTTTAGTTGCGCAGGGTCGGCCCGCGCACCCTGCACAGACCTTTGTTTGTGTTATCCGTCACGTTTCCATAGTATAGTTTTCAGCATTGTTCAGTAATAACGATGGTGCAATCCACAATGACGATGGTTGATGCGCATCAGGGATGTCTGCTCACACACGCACGCCCAGTCTCACCGGATGTGACGTTCGCCGCCAGCCGAGGTCGTGTTCATTCACTCCGGCAACGTAGGACGCGACGCAACAGGCGTCAGTTTTTCAGTGAAGCACACTGATCCAATGAGTAGATCGTGATAAAATCTCGGCAAGCCGGGTTTGGAAGCTCTTTACAACTGATCTTTAGGCTTGAAATTTATTTCGCTTCAAGACACTATGCCGTGACCGATTTCATAAAGGTTTACACAGCCTAAACATGTGAAATTGCCGCTCCACGCATTGCTGACGCTGTCTCATTGCCATTGTTTCTTGGCACTGTCCCCTTTGTGTCGTTTCGCTCTCCAGCGTCACTTCAAACATGCTTCCCTGAGACCTTGCATTTCAGCTGTTTAATGCACGAATGAGCGCCACCACTGACCGACCGGCATACCCAAACCGGTTTAGGTTGTTTGGATAGAGCCCTTTCGGCAAGTCACCACCATTTCAGGGCTATGGGATGAAGGAGAATGGAAACCGGACGGGCAAGACTGCACGCACCTGGGAACCCAGCCGCCGAGGGTTTACCCGCACAGGGACCTCTCATCGAGGTGTGGCGCTCGGCGCGCGGGTGGAGGGCCTCACCAGGGGGCTCCTCGGCACACTCATGGTTAGCGCATGTAGGACAAACGGGGCGTCACGAGGATGAAGGGCTAAGCGGGAAGAAGGATGAAAGGGTGGATAACCCCAGCCGGTCTGAGGCAGCTTGAGAAGATTTACGGCCCGCGCAGAGGCGCACGGAGGCAGCCCGCCCCGGCCTGGCGGGGTCAGGGTTGGTCCGCGCAGCGGCGACCCGAGGCAGCGAACATGGCGAGGTCAAATCGTGCCCGCGCAATGAGCGCCGCCACTGACCGGCTTAGCGGGGTTAGGCCGGTCCAAGCAGTGGTGGGCCGAGGCAGCGAACGCCGTGGGAA